AATAAAGCTTCGGTTTGGCACGACCTATAATTATTACTGTCCATATAAACTTCCAAATTCAATTCTATTTTAATTAGATCTTTGTGAAGTAAAAAAGTTTATGCCGAGCAAGAAATCCCTAATACTTGTTATACTAAGATCTCATTAAAATGTTAGGTATCTAAAATGGTCTAGTCACCAATAACATTTCTTTTGTGCTTTTAAGTTCCAATCAGCTGATGATAAGTAAAAAAATGCTACTTATACATCAGGAACTGAAAATCAATATCAGTTACACAAATCTTGACTATTGGTATAAAGTAAGTAAACAAGATAGTACATATGTATTGCATTGGATGTCCATGACATATTACTCTAGCGTTGCCAACTGGATAACAAAAAAATATACTCAAAGTTAACATCCCAACATATTTACAAAGAATCAAAATTTTAGGTGTTGGTCAATACAGTAATAAGAAATTAACATCAACGGAACCAGAACTGTTTACCACAACTCAGTAGCCGAATACACGGCTTCCATATTTTTGAAACGATAGGCCCAGGAGGTGAATCACCACAAAAATATTTGTTAGCATGAAGGTATAGGAAGTTAGTGGAGTCATATAGACGATAAAAGTGCATGTTGGACCTCTACTAATTCGTGAATAAGGACATTGCGAGGCTTCGAAAATGAAGATGTCTAACCTCATCACAAAAATGAAACAAAAAGAGAATACAGCTGAACAATCCCAATATGACTTTATAGTTTTAGACGCAAAAACATAAGGAAAAACAATCTAAAGTATTCTTGGTTAATGAAAACATATTTCACTTTAATGACGAAAATAGAAATCTATTATATATAAAAAACACAAAAACGAGGAATCCACAAATAGGGATTTTATGTAAATAAGAATGTCAAAATGACATTAAACAGGTGAAGTGTATTCAACACTTTCAATGATTGTTAGGCAAAATAAAAAACAAGAGATTTAACCCTTTATTGAATTCAATAGCTGAAAGCACGTTGTTACTGACTAAAATAGAACAAAGATGAGAGGTATTTTGGTATGAAAATAGTTGACCATCGGACTACTAATATGCAATAGTCACTCGATAACTACGGTTCGAGCAGTGGTAGTGAAGCGACTATCTTCCTGTATTGATAAAAACGAGAGATTTTTCAAATAATGTAACTAATCAAACTCACATAATGGGATTTACGCTTTTTTCTGTTTGGAGTAGGTGGTTCTATTTCACTTTTGCGCTTCCGTAAAAAATTTAAGTCATCATTATTACTCTCACTGGTTCTATTGTCCTTCATTTCACCTGAAATTACAGCCGCCTGATTAAGTGCTTCATTGGCCTCTCTACAATAATAAATAAAACGTACTTCAAAATACAAGAAACGTTGTTGAAAAACCGCTTACTGAGTGACTGAAAAAGCGAACTATGGTCAAAATCGAAGCCAAGGTATATAGTGAAATCGTTTCAAAACGTGTCAGTTATCAAGCACTCACTAACTTAATAAGAATATTAACACAGGAGATACAAATTTGGTCAAACTGGAGAAGGTTACAACTAGCTTGAAATAGGCTGGTATATTACAGCCTCACTTATTAGATTCAGTAATCTTCAAAAATATTAATTCAATATGAATGCTTAGAGTGGTTGAAGTTGGAAATGGCGTATGATAACAGCGTTTAGTCTCACCAATAGTCACTTACATAACAGGACAGAAAAATTATATACTGATTTGCCCTAAAAGTATACAATGTATAAAAAAGGTTTGAGAATAATTTAGTTTTTGACATGCAATTAATGTAAAGATAGTGCAATAAATTAAGTTTCTAACCTTCAAAAAACCTAAAACAATGGATCCAAAATGATAATACCTATTACAGTAGAACAAAAGAATAAGGACATGGGAAAAAAACGAAGAATTAAAAGTATAAAACACAGTTCAAAGAATTAGTATCGATGTGCGTAACTACAAATGAATCTACGTTACATTACCTGGTCTTTATTCTTAGATTGCAATAATTTCGTAAACTCCAACTACGAAACCTATACAGCTCAGATCCAGTATCATTGACCTGATAGGACAATCTTAACACTCAACCTTTTGCCAAACCGTCGCTATATCAGCTACTGTAGTACTCTCGGGTGGCATATGTAACACATCTCTCAAGGATTAGTTCGAGTCTAACATCGACATTATAGACTACGTAGGTCCTTCAAACATAACCAAATCATACACTTCCACTCAATGTGTTCAGAAATCCACGGATTTTTCGGAATATACACCAAACAGGACGCCGTTATTTGCTTTAAAATGACAATAAAACATCAGGCAGTTGATAAATTTTCCAGAAACTAAAAAACTGTTACTTTTTGAAGTATGTCAACTAAAAATTGACGGAAAAAGACTTCTTTAACTAAGTCTTATTTTTGATGATATTTTGTTAAATGCTGACCAGTCACTGAGTATTCAAATAGTCTGAAATGCAATACTGTATGTTTTTAAGAGACGAAATAACGATAAGATCTCTCGGTTAACTGGCATATAAGTAATTTATCTTTGGTCGGATAGCGGTATATACATGTTCAAGAGCCTGTGAGTAAAGCTATAGTCCATCAACTTGCATCCGGACTAAAAAAAATTGGTTTGTGGTTTCTGAGCTCCACATGATTAGAAAACAAAATATCTATTCTTTATTAATCAGAAATACGAGGGAATGATACAAGACACAGCATCACACTAAACTCTAAAACTTCTAATAGTATTTAACGTCCTTGGAAGATGATAATAACTCTTCTTAGACTCTCATGCAATTATTAATCCTAATATAACTAAATTTCTGAATCTTTCATAAAGCCTACTAACACTTACTGTATAAATTGTTCCTTTGACAAATCTATCGACTGTGTTTTCATTTTTCTCAAAACATCATCACTTTCCATCTGAGCAATCTTCTGCGCCTCCTTTGAAACACTTTCATCCTCTAATCCATCTTGAGCCAAAAGAAATTCGCGTTCATAATCCCGAAGTTTCAAAACACGTTTCTTTTCTGTCTTGGCATCTATTTGCATTTGTTTATTGTTATTTTTATTAATTTCTGACTCGGAAATTTCATCTGAGGACTTTGAACTTTCATCATCCGATTCACTAGGTTCACGAAACCATTGTTTATTAGGATCATTAAGAGATGGATCATTTGTACACAATGCTTGATATAGAGTCAAAAAATCATCTTGTTGTTTTTCTTCCCAACTATCATCAGTGTCTGAGGAACTTGAAGTAGATTCATCATCATTATCTGAAACTGAAGCAACGGTTACATTTTCATCCACTTTGAAATTAGTATCAGATAACTTGGATAGTTTAATATCCTTCAGTTTAGCATCACCGTGTTTAGCCTTTAGTTTCTCGTATTCCTCCTTTTGACGATATCGGTTATAATTTTTAGCGAAATCTTCATTGATTTTGAATTGCATGTCTGGGATGTTTAGATAATGGCTATAAAACAATTATGACAATGAACTATATACACTAGAGTATGAAATAAATAATCTTAGTTAAATCACACTTATTTTTTCATCTATATTATAGACTACTTTCAGAGAAATAGTATGCATCATTGTTTTCCAGTCAACCAATCAATTAGATTATAAAAAACTAGGCATGTTACATTAGATGCCGAATCGCTGGGGTATGAAGATGGAAAACGGATAACTTGATAGACTGAAAAAGTACAGTGACCCTTGTTTCAGAGGTTTTTACTACTAAGATGGTTTAATCCAGCAACCGATAATAGCATTTTTTTATTCTGGTAAGTGTAATTACTTTCTTAGCTCAAAAATGATGTTCAGTACATTTATTCGACTTCAGTAAACATAAAATTTCCTTAATAAGTAACTCCACATTGAAAGCCACAATAGTACTTGAAATCCTATCCAATACTAAGTATCCTAGACAAAGGCTGACAAATCAACGATCAAAATAAAACTGTGATGGGGGACTAGCGATTTATAAAACTAAGTCGGTAAATTGTACAAAAAAGGCCGTCTTTTAAATATGTATACAGAAGTTAAAACAACATATATAGCCAAAGGAATTCGAGAACCTTAGCTAATGGTATGCAGATAAATTAACAGATTCAGTTGCTAATTTCTTACATCCTTAGTGATTATTCTTACTCGGTAGAAAGTTTTGTAAAAGTTAAACTTTACAAGATCGATAAACAGAATTTTCTGAATTAGTTTAAGATTGGCAAGACTGTCCCTAAGAAATATTGAATTTATGATCAACTCTATTTTAAAATGCCAATTATAAATCTATCAAGGACCAGTCAACCTACATATGCTAACGAAAACTTTTGAAGTGTATTGGACGATCGATTTGTGCATGAAAGCAGAGATTTTAATTTTTTCCGAATATGGACCCGCTATTCGATTAAAATTTGGCACATGGATTTAAACAAGTTTCGTCTCCTTGACAAAACTGAGAGTTAAGAAACTTTCTTATTCTCCCTCCTCACTTATCTTGAAAGTACTAAGCCTGGTTTCTATGATGTTTTAACCAAACTTTGCAGTTAATGGAAAGTTTCCGATAAGTTTAATTCTGTAGTGACGATTTTTTGAATATTATAATTGTAAATGGTACTCCATTAATCTGGTTTAGACAACAGCTATTAAAATTCACATATCCTTTTAACTGTGCATACAGAATTCTTCATGAATGATGGTTGGAATCTAGTTTCATGGAAGTTGGAGCTCATAGGCAAACCATATGTACAATCTAGACAAAACAGATGCTCCTTGTGGGATACGGTCTCGCATCACTCAATGTAGTAGTCAAAGATATTACTTCTGAATTGTTCACCACTAGTCATACTTAACCATTGAATATCAAATGACAAAGTGTTTTTTAAATTAGCAAACACTCTAGAAAAACAAATAAATACCAACAGTATGCGCGCGCCTTTAGATGACAGCAGCTGCTTAACAAAAGTATGCTATTGCCCTCCATATACATTATATATTCAAACATAGTTAAACAATATAAAAACAGTCAAGCTAATCAAGTAAGCACAATTATATCGTATCATACACAATACACAAACATAAGTGATGAGAAAAGAAGGTAAAACAACCAAATATATAAATTCCAGTATTTTCTTTCACTTTATATCAACAAACCTTAATAAACGTCGGAGAATGAAAGTTACCCATCGTATTATTTATTGCTTTAAAACTACATAATCAATAATAAGGCAAGAGGAAAACAATTAACAAAAAAACTAATTACATGTTAGCTATGCACACAGTTAAAATGAATATGCATAGAATCTAGTGAATAAATTAGAAATAATCAACTAAGAGTCAGAAAACTTTTCCGAAAGAATAAATGTCTTTTTGAGTGTGCGTAAAGAATTACGGTAGCCCTTTTATTATTATTATTATTATTAATATAATATTATATTTAATAAAAAAGAAAATACAATCGAATCAAATTAAAATATTAAATTAACAGCATTATTAAAATAACCCATTGTGTCATTGAATAAAAATAAAGAGAATTCAGCGTAGAAAAATTTCTTGTGTAACCTCATCTGGTAATAAGAGTTTGGAATCAATTTATGATGCAATCATTTCTATCCTTCTATAGACATATTTTCCATATAACTATAAATACGAGTGTACAACTTATGTAAATGGTTTCGTAGAAATCAAAATTTTCTTCGCTGGATTCTCTTTATCAGCATTATTATTGATAATTTAACAGAAGAAAAACATTTCCTCTAGATAACTGCTATATTGTGCATACTCATTGAGAGTCGATTGAAGTTCAGATTGTGTCAATCAAAAGAAAACAAGTGATTTTTATTGTTTAATGCAATATTTTTACTAACCACTAAAGAAGGAAATCAATCGACTAGGAAATCAAACTAATCAACTAGAAATGGGAAAAAATCTCCATCATACTTTAGTCAGTTAGTGGAATAAATTTTCTCACAAACAAAAAGAAATAATGAAGCGTAATTAATACAATCAAAAGTCAACAATTTTTTTTGTTATTCTCCTTCTCTCTCTCCTTGCATATCATACTTTAATATGTATCTCTTTCCAAAAGGAATAAAACTGACGTAAAACTACTAAATACACGCAAAATAGCTAGTCGATAACAAAATAAAAGTAAATAAATAAATGTTAATAAATAAAAAACAACTAGTAAATTTTATCACATATAAGTGGAAGAATAATTGTGAGAGCATAATTTTAATTATTTCTTTATCAAGACATTTAAATAAGCAGAAAATAAATAGTGGAAGTAAGGAAATCACAAAATATATTCAACTATTACATAATAAATATGATTATTAATAACTACTGTACTTTGAAACACGTAGTATTAACAGTTGAGCTACTCTGAAGAATATAATTGGTAATAAAAAAGTAATATCCACAGAAAATGGAAGTGTTCAGTTTGATTAGATGTTATAAACTGTAAAGATAATTATTAGTAAACTTAAACAAACTGTTAGCTAAACAATTCTTTTTGAACGAGAATATAATCTAAAAGTTTAATATAGGAATTTTCTTCATCATCTTCATCGTTATTATTATTATTATTAGTAGTAGTAGTATCAGTATTATTTGCATGGTCATTACCATTATAACCCCCATGCATGGAATCATTAATTATTCTGCATTCATTTTCTAAACTTATCTCCTTAAATTTATTAATATGAGGTATACGTCCAAACACAGATAACTGTCCCAAGCATTTGCCAGTATAAACTTTACCACTCCAACGACCATGATGATTACTGCCAGATGGTGAATGGAGTTTAGATGGTGATATTGGTGAAGATGGAGTAAGGAAGTGCCATTCTGATCCATTGATTACAACAGCTACAGAATCACATTGAGGAGCGTCTAGACAGAATTTATAATTTCGGTTAATGAATAAATGCTGATGTTTAGGTTCAATTAATCGACACTGAACCCACCAAAATGTTTGACGCGGATAAGCCTGAATTAACTCAGAAGAACGACAGTTACGTGCATCAATTAAAATACGATACACACAGTCTAGATGATCTTTGACAATATCATTTTCATTAAAAGCATAAATAGTCAAGTAGTAAAATGCTTGTACAGGTAGACGAACGTTATAATAGGCATTAGCCTGAGATTTGAATGGCTTTGAATGTGTAATACTACTATGATGGTTTGGTTTCATTTGAAGCAATGCATAACTATCACAATCTGCCATTTGATGACCTGGTCGATCAAACGATTTTAATTGGTGGCATAGCTACAAAAATAATAGTAAGAACAAATTTAGCTGATATTGGTATAACATGAAATTTTACTGCCTCCATAGAAAATTTACAGAAGCTTCGATTCCACGCTAAAATCCCACAAGTTTGGTTACTTACGACCAGCTTATATTGATTTTAGTATATAGGTAATCCTGAGAACCCTGATACGATATTCATATCGAGAAATAGTCTCACATATGCAAGAGATATATTTTATCAAATCAATAGTTCTAAATTGGAACTTACAGCATCCATGAAAGCATACAAGAAAATTAGGTCATACTACTTAAATGCCGTAACAAGTTAAGATGCTTAAAGAAACTGTACTTTAATCCGAATTATAAATCACGCAAAACATTGCTAACCTCTTTAGTGGAAATTTGTAATATAATAAGCCTCTCGACAACGTTGAATCAAAGATCATAAACATAACTACACTGAATATAATCCGTGTCTTTCACATACCGTCAAATTCATAAATCCGTACACGTCCTTGAAGTTTCAGTAAGTCATGAAGTAGATGGGATCGAGTACATTACTGATCATTTGGTGGTCAACATATTTCATCCAAAATGCAAGCACATATTACTCTACTATTACATCACTGTATGGTTGAAGACTGTTGACAAGATGCTCTGGATATAATAAACACCTTTGTATCAAAAATGTTTTAATTATGAACTAAAATTGAAACGTTATGATACAGTGTAGTTTTGTTATTAACAAAAAGGTGAAATTATATGTGACTATATGATTGGCTTCGGTTGTTCTCATTTAAGATTTGGGAATGTTGAAATCTGTGTGGTTTATCGAATACGTAACGAGTAGAGTAATTAAGCTGATGTTATAAGTAGCACAGCAAGTGACTACATACCATTCTTAACATGAATCCCTATTACTGTCTATAAAAGCTGAGAGATATGAACTTTCCTCCTACTGACATTCAACATCAATCTTCAAAATTGGCACTTAAATTAAGTAATCAATTTTCATTTCTAATATTTTTAATTTATACACTAGTTTTCATATCAGTGAAGATGTATTTATTCAAGACTACAATGAGTACGGCACAGGGAGTTTTTTTAATTTATTTGAACTTAAACTACTTAATTATTTGATATTAAGTAAGGAAGAAAATTGTCTGATTGATCTAACCTTTAAACCAGGAGCAATGGCAAAAGGAATTTTCAGAGGTCTTGGATCATTGTGTACAATGTATGGTCGACCATCTGACGCATCACCTTCTGGTACCATTAGTACACCATGCACTTCTGAAGCAGGTGTACGACCAAGAAAGCCAACTTCAGGCAATCGACCAGTCACAACTAGACGAGAATAATTATATTCTGAGCAATGAATCTGTGGAAGAAAAACAAAAAAGACATAAAAAATAAAGGTGTGATATGGTACCATGATCATTAAGATTTTAAACAAAGAAACTCAAGCCAAGGTTTTGCGAAAATTTTCAAAACTATGTACACAATAGTAACGTAAACAAAAAACTATACTTACAAAAATCTGAAAAAAGTTGTTAACTTATTAATCATAAAAGATGAAAATATACCGGTTATGACTGAAATAGTTTGCTATATCCTTATTTCACTGCAAACTAGTTTAGTTAGATAGGTAATTATATACAAACAAAAGTTTTATTAATGGGTAAAATAGCACTCAGATCAACAACACAGGCACTACTAATTTAAGAGAAAAATAGACTTACGTTTATTTCTAAATTCCTTTTGTAAGAACGATTCTAGGAAACTATTGTGCAATAAATAAAATCACAAATTAATACCATAATAGACTTCAGATTAACTCATTTTTCAGGTACTTTGATATGAGTCACACTCTAATTGTGGGAGCTAATGATATTAATTGGTTGCCCAAACCAATGTAGTTGGAGCTGGGCTTGAATCTGAGATTTAGTAGCTGAAAGTCAACACTAAGCCAGAGCTCCACCATAGTAATCACTTGATACTGGTGATATTGAAATCCAACAAAAACTTATTCATGATTTTCTGATTCTAATTGAAACAATATTTTGCGATTATTAATTACCGAAATTTATTTAATGATAATGTTTTGATATCATTTAGAAAATTTATAAGGGTTTCACTGAATAAATTACTTATTTATGACTTACTTACACCTGTTACTCCCAATGGAGCATAGGCCGCCGACCAGCATTCTCAAACACACTCTGTCCTGGGCCTTCTTTTATAGTTCCATCCAATTCTTGTTCATTATCCTCATGTCTATTTCCATTTCTCGGCGTAATGTGTTCTTTGGTCTTCCTCTTTTCCTTTCGCCTTCAGAACTCCATATGAGGGCTTGTCTTGTGACGCAGTTGGGTGCTTTCCTCAATGTGTGTCCTATCCACTTCCACCGCTTCTTCCTGATTTCTTCCTCCGCTGGGATCTGGTTCGTTCTCTCCCACAGCACGTTGTTGCTAATAGTGTCCGGCCAACGGGTCCGAAGTATTTTGCGTAGACAACTGTTAATAAACACCTGTATTTTCTGGATGATGGCTTTCGTAGTTCTCCAGGTTTCTGCCCCATACAGTAGAACTATCTTGGCATTTGTATTGAAAATCCTGACCTTGATGTTGGTTGACAGTTGCTTTGAGTTCCAGATGTTCCTCAGTTGTAAATATGCTGCTCTTTCTTTACCGATCCGCGCCTTCACATCTGCATCAGATCCAACCTGTTCATCAATGATGCTGCCCAAATATGTTAAGGTTTTTACATCTTCCAAATCTTCTCCGTCAATTGTGATTGGATTGGTGCATTCTGTGTTGTATTGGAGAATCTTGCTTTTCCCTTTGTGTATATTGAGACCTACTGCTGCTGAGGCTGCTGCCACACTGTTCGTCTTCTCCTGAATCTGTTGTTGCGTTTGGGATAGAAGGGCCAGATCATCTGCGAAGTCCAGATCGTCCAACTGCATCCTAGGTGTCCATTGTATCCCGTGCTTCCCTTCAGATGTTGACGTCTTCATGATCCAGTCGATCACCAGGAGAAATAGAAAGGGTGAGAGTAGCCAACCTTGCCTAACACCGGTCTTTACTTTGAACGACTTTGTCAGCTGTCCTCCATGCACAATTTTGCAGTGTAATCCATCATATGAACTCTGTATGATATTGACTATCTTTTGAGGCACGCCGTAGTGTCGAAGAAGTTTCCATAGTGTTGTTCTGTCCACGCTATCAAATGCCTTTTCGTAGTCAATGAAGTTGATGTAGAGTGATGAATTCCATTCAATTGATTGTTCCACAATGATCCGTAGAGTTGCGATTTGGTCTGTACACGATCTATCCTTACGGAATCCTGCCTGTTGGTCACGAAGTTGGGCGTCTACGCAGTCCTTCATCCTGTTTAACAATGCCCTGTTGAAGACTTTTCCCGGTATTGAGAGAAGAGTGATGCCCCTGTAGTTATCACACTTGCTGAGATCGCCTTTCTTTGGTATTTTGATCAGAAGTCCTTCTTTCCAGTCTTTTGGTACTTGTTCCTCATCCCAAATACTTATTTATGAACTATTTACAAATCCGAAGACCTAAAACGGGCTATAATAATATAAAGTCCTACAGGCTTTAGATTAGTCAAGTGGCCTGAAAGATTCAAGCGTTAAAAATGAGAAATAGATTAAAAATGGCCAACTGCTAACCTGAAATGAACATGCCAATTCCCTGATGTCTTCACGCCGCCAATCAGGTGAAACATAAACGTTCAAATAATACTTTCCTGGTTGTGATGGAGCAGCTTCAATGCGTACAGTACCTGATGGTCGTAACAGGATTTCGACTAAGCATAACCCTAACAGAATACTATGATCGGCACAGTTTTCTAAGCTGCAGGAAATGCCAACAAATCTCGACATTTTTATTTTTACACTCACCTAATACACAAATAAAAAAGAATCAGACAAGTTTATATTGGAATTATTATCAAGACTAATAAGGAATTCAAATAAAATGACCACAGAATACAAGAGAATTATGTACGGAATGGGGAGTTGATAAGTCGAGGGTATTTAGAAAAACTGTGTACATAAGAATAAAAACATTACAATGAATATATTATTAATTTACACTAAGACATTGACGATGATTTGTGAACTAATTAAAATAACAAATTATGAACAGAGTTGGACGCCAGCTATCAGTGGAATCCAGAACGCAGATTTCGTCCTATTTGGGAACTAGTCAGCTGGATGTGCTCTCGCCTCAGTTTACACTGGGACTCGAACCCAGTACTTTTCGCTTCACACGCCCAACGCACCTGTCCATTCAGCTACTGAGTCCAGACGATCGCTGGCTTGTGAAACGGAGTGGATGTTAATCCATTTGTGTTGATTGTTTGAATGTTCCCGTTACCAATATTTATAAATTTATTGGCTACACTTTGAACTACAACTGTTTTACAACACATTCCATCTATGACAGAAGCCACTACAAGGAACCACTATTGTGAACAACTAGGGAGGGACTTAGAAAGTAATAACTTCCATATACCAAGAGGTGCTGAAGTTTAAGGAGCACCAGCATAGAGGGTGAATCAATCAAGACAGTGAGCACAAATCAAGAAAGCAAAAACAAGGAAACAGCAGTCAAAAAAGCCTGAAAATTGCAAAGAAAGCCAAGATACAGACTGAATATACAGAAGCAAGCAAAGGAGTAGAGAAGAGCATCACGGCTGACAAGCATAAATATTTAAAAGACCTGACAACTACAGTAGGACAAGCTAAGGGAAAATAACGTATAGAAGAACCATAGAGCAAAAGCAAAAAGCTAACAGGAAAAAGTAGTAGACAAGAGCAACCAGTCAGCAACAAAGACGTGAAACTGTTACGTCCGAAGAAACTACGATATCGCCGAGAACCGGCGAAACGGAACAAAGTCAGCAATAAAATAACAGGACAAGCTAAGATGTGCCCCAGTCCTGCTAACTAGAGGGAGAAGACCAGATTCAGCCGGAAAAAGATATTCCACAAGCAGCCAGAAGCACGAACGAACAAGAACACAACTTATGAGTATGTATGCAGTACAAAATGTCCTTGGAAAACGTCACAAAATAGTGTGGTAAAAGAGGGAACGAGCCAATGACGTTTAAGGTTCATTAAAGTGGAGAATACAAAGGTGAAGGTAAAAGTGGGCGCTTTTAGAGCGAAAATGAGAAATTCGAATTTCCAAGATAAAATTACGAAACTGAGACGTTTACCAAGGTGATTCCTGAGGATCTAGAATCCCCAACAAAAACCAGCTAGTGAGAATCAAAAGCGGCAATACAGCACTTTGAAGAGCTTCGGAATAGACCAGCTAATCTGAACCTACATGATATAAGAACAGCGCACGGAGATCAACTTATAGACGATACCCCACCAACAATAGAAGACCAAACAAGACCATCGCACAAATCAAGAATGGAAAAACAGTATGACCAGTTGGAACACTAGCTGAAATAATAAAGTTAGATATAGAAGCGAATTCAATCATGTTTCACGTTTTCTTCAGAAAGATCTCGGAGAAAGAACAGGTATCGACAGACTGGAAAGAGGGATACTTCATAAAGATACTCTAAAAAGGAGTTCCTAGTACGTGTAAGAACCACAGAAAATCATGTTAATATTAGTGTCAATCGGATGTTTCAATATAGCTAGCTGAACCGAATAGAAAATCTAGTAGATGCCCAACTCAGAGATAAACAATTTACTTTTCGTGAGGATCGATCATGTGGTAAACAAACGGGAACACTGTGGATCATTTCTGAGAAATGAATTGGACAATACAAGTACAAGCATTCATAAACAGCTTCCTAGGCAAGATAATACACATCCATTGTACCTAGACTATCAACATACTCTACTCTGGAGTAGAACAAACCAGCAACCAGTTGGAGAAATTAGGAAAAGACGCTGACCGTAAATTGGTCATGTTTCGTGGAAAACAATCAAACTGTATTACAAGACAAGCTCTAGCTCGGAATCCTTGGGGGGAAAGAAAGAGGAACAGATGTAAGAAAATATAGTGACGTGAATCAAAGGCGACACATTAAGACTATGAATACCACTTGGCAAAGATTGGAAAGGAGAGACAGGGATAAATTTATTGAAGATCCTTGGTCGGCGGCCTATATCGGAAGAGGGGTTGCAGGTTTAAATAAGTAATCACCTCTATAAGCTTGTAAATCTCAAAAGAAAAATTATCGTTTACCACAATTCATAAGACACTGATGTGGATTTATCTACGTTCATTATATAACAATAATTATGCTTTCGTTATTCTTCAATCGACTGTTTTATAAACCAAGCACCTGTGGAAAGAAGAGCTGAAGAAAAAAACAGAAACGCCATTCAAGTTATTGTAGCTACAGTTTTAATATATACTGAGACGAACTATTTATATAAAGGAGAGTTCTGGAAAATAAATTACAGACTCAATTCAAAGGTTATTCATTTATACAAAGCGAATGATGTGCATACCAGATTGTACTCATAAAAAATAGTGAAATTACCTGTCCATTTTTGGTAACTAAACAATCGGAATAATTCTTTTTCAAAAATAGATTAGCATTGAAAAATGGCGATTTAAGTAGTGGTAAGTGACAGAATCGATCCATACTCAATGGTTTGCGTAATAGCTGCCATACTTTTAAATCAGGTAAATTCTCAAAAACATGTTGTTCTGGATCAGTTAGAAAATAAAATTCATCACATTCAGATGAAGACGAACGACCGTCTGGTAAATCTACAAATATAACCAGTCGCAAAGAGAAAAGATGAGTTATACGAACTGACCAAGAAATTTGTATACTGTGCTTATAAATCTTTAAGTTTTCGAATGTGGTCGGAACATTTATTCTCCAAACAAATTTAAGAGCTATCAGCTAACGACACCAGGCTAAGTAACTTTTACCAAAAGACACATAGTTATCTGCTTCATGTTATTAGTAAATTTTAGGATTGTCATTAAGACTAAAACATGGTCTCCTCTAAGCATATGTGAAGATGTTAATGTTCATTTATGTAAATCTACTTGTTCCACTACTGGTCATTCTAGAGGTTTATTTATCTGCTGCAGACAGCCAGATGCTACTGAGTCGATCAAGCTGAAAACCTTTATTAAATAAAGTGAATGGTGTATGCTTTGTGCACTACCACAAAATATCGGTTATCGCAAAATGGATGGAGCTTTATAATCCTGGAGTTAGGAAATTTCGAACTACATGTTTTAAGAACTTTTAACCTAGGACGAGGGATTTTCCAATATAGCGTAAGGGGTACCTTATTCACTTGGCACTATAAACCTGGACACGAAATTATTCTCAGAATTTAAATAAAAACCGATCAAGAACACAGTATAGACATGGGTAAAGTATATTGAATTACGACAATTATTTAACAAGACAATACACACAAGTATCTATCAGCGTTGACTTGCCAATAAACGTTTTGAAAACACAAAATGTTGAAACTATGTGATTCTATGTTGTAGAAATAAATGGAAAAGACATATCCCACATAATTAAGTCACACTGCTGACACAAATATATCGAACTACGAAATCTAAATTTAATAATTTTCAAATTTAAAGACCTAATTACTTATTTGTATAGACGAACATTTACATTTACTTAGATACTTTATTTCAGCCCCCATGACACCAGACAGCAAAAGTGAGAGATTGAAACTGTAGATGTAATGTAGGACAAATTTAAAGTGGATATTAGAAAACAGAATAAAAACAATTAGGGGAAAACAAGATTTACTTTCCGATAAATACCGAGCACCCCAATTACAATTTACAAAACGCCAACCATCACAAATGTACACTGCAAGCCAAGTATTACGAAAAAGTTGATTATCTTTAATTGGCATGCCTGGACGATATCCAGCACCTTTAGAATAACCAGTTATATATTGACATTGTAATCCAGCATACCTGGATAAAGAAAATTATTAAAACTACCAATATTCTGGTGACACTACGGATGGATGATACCAAACAAAATATAAATTATACATTTATGCACTTGATTACGCATTTCTTCCTGGTAATCTGTTTATATAATACATGAACTCCAAACAGGATATTTCAATGGAAAGATGAAGTCAAGCTCCTGAAGAAACTGACCCATTTCTCGGAAAAAAAACACCATATGTTAAGATACAAACATGTATGTACAATTTTAAGATTTGACCCACATCAATCAACGTTACAGTCTGAGACTTTACCACTAAGATATAGTGGTTGGGTGCATTGACCACTTCACTTGTTGATGAGGTTGTGAATTTTCATAGACAGAGCAGACTGAGGATATGTGTTAGATATAACCAACCACTGTATACCTCGGTGTCGAACGTTTAACACCGGGAATGAGTTGGAAGAAAGCTAGAAACAAGCAGATCAAGATGTGTGATCAGTCAGTCCATAGATTGGTCTGTTGGTCTGATATTTTGTGGTATATCCAACTACCTGACTGTAGTCTGTGCGATAATCCCGATAAATTTTCGAAGACTGAGTGAAATGGCTTAGAATTGATCACAACGGCACAGATGCATTCACGCCTAATCTTCCCCTAGATCTAGAGTTTTAGTATTTCTTCATGCATAGCTTTTCATTCAGTCTTATGGAGCTACATTTTAAAAGATTAATCTTTCGAATCTGTATGGTTGTTCGAATTTCCCTATTGACGTTTAGGACCGCAATTAATCAGTCTCTTCGGCATTTAGGCATCCTGTGAAGATTGTCTCTATATTGTCACTAAGACACAAGTGTTTTCAAGAAGAGATGGATGAAAGCTAGCAGTAGTATCCAGGACGCGTGTTTCGTCACCCCACCCTACAAGCTAATGACTAACTGGATTCAATAGCTAAGTGGATAGCTCAATGGCGTTTGAAATTAACAGTACTGCGTTCGAGTACCGGTGTGAATATCCTGCTTAAAGATTAGTCTGTCTCATCATCGTTGTTACTATCATTATCTTAATTCATTTGATACTAATAATGTTAATTTCATCTGATCCTGCTGTTGTGGTATAAGAGCTCTGGTTAATGAATATTTGTCCAACGCTTTACGTTGACTGTAAATGACCGGGTGTATAAGTTAAGATGATGAAATAATCCATACTTTGGATTAATACCTCTATAAAAAAACAAATGCGAATATAGACCACCACAATTAAAGTAATGAAGATAAAAAAAGTGATTCTTTATATGATAAAGAACTGTAAATTACGTATCCAACATATATAAACGCATTCACTCAAAGAATGAGACGCGATAACATAAAAACAAAAAATTAATTGCTGCGAAAGTGGTTTAAAGTTTATCTAAGGCTTGGGTAACAATAGAAAAACCTGTATGTAATCAAAAGTAAAAATAATTAGGAAACATGAGAAATCGCTGAAAAGTCATAGAACTGAAATAGAACCCAACAAGCTAAAAACGTATCACTACAAGATGAGCAGGTTGACGAAATACACACAAGATCTGGGTCAAATGGTCCCAGTAGACTGTAAAGTATCGGTCCTAAAGGAAGTTCCTGTTACTTAATCTCATGTAATGGGATTAGCAAGTGCCAGTGATTAAATTGATATGTTTACCACGACTTTCCGCCCGCTGATTGGATGAAATGTTTTCAGCCTTATCCTGGTCTTTGAAGATCTTATAGAGGAATTCCCGGGGGATCAAGACACAAACCAACAGAATTTTCTTCATGAGCATCGATGACGTTGTAAATTTTAGCAAGTAGTTGGACAAAATCTTACGTATAACACTGACAGCTAATACTTTCAATTCTTTTGATATACCTTCATAAAGTTACGAAATTTGCATTTAAGAACTAGATGATTGTCAAACGTCGATATAGATTGTAAGCTATTCTAACAATATCGATTCATTTATTTCTTTACTTGGAAAATAAACCCTCCATTATACTAATTAAAGTTTATTCTGAAGTCATGCATATCACAAAAGTGCATAAAACAACAAATATCAAATTAGATTAATAAAAAATTACGACAATTTATGGTGAAAAAATCATCATGCTCGTATTTTTCATTAGGCAATATATACAACAGTATATATATGATACTTCCAGAAGTCACAAAACAATCACCAAATAAATACTTAAAGTCTGTATGAATCTCATTAAAAGTGAGTTACGATCGAAAGTATTTTCTCAATGACAGATCTACAAATTTCCTTAACTGAAATGGCAAAACACGTACCGGCATAGTTCATAAAATAATTCATTACGCGATAACTGATTATATTTCATCTGTCTCAACATCCCAATCAATGAATCAGATGGAGCTTCTGGATCATAATCTTCATATCTGGTATCCTTACCAGTAGTCCATCGATAAAGTGAACTAAAATGAAAGTTTTGGAAAATGTTGCATTGTGTGTTCATGATGAGAATAATATTTACGATGAACAATATTTGACAAATATTTCTTCGAAAAACCAGAATATCTAGAGAAATTACGACTAGTTAAAAGCACTTTGTAGTGGATATATTTGTGGTCAGAGTCAGACACTACCTTCGTAACCGTCTTCTCGTTTAGAGAAAAGTTCTACTCTTAAACACCGGGAGGCATGGGAATAGTTTCAATATGAAGATTAGCTTATGTACAGAAAGCAAGGGTATTTATAGAATCGCCCGCTCACAACCGTTGTTGCTACCTTGACGTGGTGGTCGAGCTTGCCTATCGTGATGAACTAATCGAGCTATACTGGCTGGAACAATCGTTCCTCAAGGTCCTACCATGCCAAACAGGTCGGTTGAGGAGCGGTAAGACTAAAAGCAGTATACCCAAGGTCTGAAGGCGAAGTCGTACTGCCGACTGTACAGAGGTGTGACGGCAGTAAGGTGTTTCCTTCAGACAACCAGCATAACAGCGATGCTGCCTTCCCACAAGGAGGGATGGGGTTAGAAAACGTTCACCCTAAAAATGCACAGATCGCCTTGTCCCACTGATATCCGTCTCCGGCGGTGAGGTCTCAACAAGCACAGAGCTAACAAGAAAATTACCCACAAAAAGGTCGTGTGTGACCCGCCTCAAGCAGCTGTCCCCTGGGCACTGCGGTCACGCTTTCATGTCACTAAGACCAACTCCAACCCGATTTCATTTGCAGGTACCTCTAGAAGAACCCTTCCACGGTTTGGGCAACCGGGAAGTGATAACCGTCCTCATACCTCTAACAGCGATCAAGACCGCCGTATTCATAATCAATTTTCCTTCCCCAGTTTCCATAATTACTTCTACCTCAACTATCAACTCTATACTTCATCTTTTGGCTTCCTCCTTAAGTGTCACCATAGCCAACGATTATAGTGCGCAAAACTAATGTTATGAGGGTAATTAATTATCTAGGTTCCATCGTCATTCATCACGTTAATGGATACAGCAAATATTCAAAAGCAGCCATACGGTGTGGTTTTAATAATAAGCCCTTGGAACTTCCCTTTCATTTTATCATTTCAGCCTCTAATTGGTGCAATCGCTGCTGGGAATAGTGTTCTTCTTAAGCCGTCAGAATTGACTCCAGCGTGTTCTCAGCTGATTGCTGAGCTTATCCCTAAGTATTTAGATAAAGTAAGTTGTTGGTCAAATTAAAGGAGATTTCCATGGACTGAAGAAAGTGAGAATTTTTCTGCACTTCGTTTCTATTACTTTGACCTGACATTCTAAAATTAAAGTATTAAATTCCTAGAAAATATGAAGGTGGCAAAGTGTGGCACTTCAAACAGATGCAAACTTAGTAAAAAGAACGAATACGAATTTTCATTATTGGGTACAGATTTGTGCCTAATCCTTCATTGTCCATGATTAACGATTGCCTAGTTACCAAGTCCATAAGTATAAGCCATATAGAATTTCACTGCTTATTGTTCAATAAAAATACATGTAGGAACTATTGTATGATGTAGATTTAGATTATTCCAAGTTATGTCTAATCATATCGCAAATTTCTGATTTGTTACCGTTTAGTTTGGGTGACTGAAACTGGTGTAAAGTATATGCTCTCCACTTTTTTAAAGCATCAATTGTAAAGCGAGACTGCACCTTTGAAATTTTCGTCCAACGTCCCATAGACAGAATGCTTTCAGTGGCGAAGTTGAGTAGAAAAAATAAAACTGATGACCCTATCTAACATCGTCTTCAGTTTATAATGGTGACATTTCTATGTAACCACTACTTGATATACTTTCCACAACTTAATAAACGTCAACACGTTTTTCAGTAATCAATATAAATATCCTTCAAGTAATATTCTTAGTCTGTAATGCTTTTAACAGCTCTTGTGTGTCCTAGTAATGAAATCACAGTCCCTATATCCACGAAGAAAGCATATCCCTAAAACATTAGTTCTGTTTTGTGAAACTAGTTTAATAGTAGTTAGTATCTTAATAGTCCAGACCTTTGCTGCTACCTTGACGTGGTGAACCATATTGCCATCAGTCATCGTTGTAGAGGCTCGATAGAAAACTCACGCTCGTTCTGGAATACCTGCTTGGACTCTAATAATACTCTAATACGGGCACGCATTTGTTTGAGCCTCACTGGACGCAGAAAATCCACATTAAGAAGACCCATTAGAATTGAACTGAGTGACGAAAAAGCAGAAAGTAGATTCCAGGAACAACTGAGGTCACACTTAGGTAGTTTTGAAAACGAGGCTGACCCAGATGTTGCTTGGAAAGATATACAAACAGCAGTGACATTTATCAGTGATTTAAACCAAAGGGTTACAAAACACCAATCGATTTCTTCTAAGTCTATTGCACTAATGGATTCTCGTAGACTCATCCCATCAGGATCTGAACACGATGAAGAGCGAAAGCAGATCAGATCTTGGTTAACCAACAGTCTAAGGAACGACCGTCAGCGGTGGTGGGCAACGAAAGCACATAGAGATGGAAAAGGTGGCGGCTGTAGGCAATACAAAACAGCTCTACAGACTAATAAAAGAAACTAAGATTAATAAGTCAAGTGTAAGTGAGACTATCTCGGAAAAAGACGACACTCTTATCTGCTCCCAGTCCAGACGTTTAGAACGATGGGCGGAACATTTTAAGGAGCAGTTCAGCTGGCCTCCAGCTACTCTACAATTACCCACCATTTCCAGACAGCCTGAATGGAACATTGAAGTAGGTCCCCCGACTCTAGTTGAAGTTCAAAAGGCTATAGTTAATCTGAAACGAGGAAGAGAAGCTGGTCCAGATGGATTGGCTACAGAGGTCTTTAAGGATGGTGGTCCAATTTTAGCGATTAGGTTGACTAATATTTTAGCTAAAATCTGGGAGTTGGACGTAATCCCATCTTATTGGTCACAATCACTGATTGTCCCAATATATAAAAAGGGGTCAAAATCATCCTGTGATAACCATAGAGGGATTAGTTTGATTAACATAGCATCTGAAATACTAGCCTCGATAATTATCGGACGCCTAACTAAGACTCGTGAACTGCAAACACGAGAAAATCAGGCTGGCTTCAGACCTGGTTGTAGCTGCATCGACCACATATTCACTATTCGCCAGGTTTTAGAACACAGACATGCTTATCGGCGTCCGACAATTATAGTGTTTCTTGACCTAAAAGCAGCATTTGACTCTGTAGACCGCGAGGTTCTGTGACAGTGTCTGTCATTGAAGGTGTACCTCAGAAGTACATAAACCTTGTGAAGGCTCTTTACTCGAACACCAATAGTCGAGTCAGAGCTTATGACGAACTGTCATCTGATTTTGCAGCCTCAAATGGTGTCCGGCAGGGCAGACCACTTTCTCCATTTTTATTTAACTTCATCATAGACCTACTGATGGGAATAACGCTCTCGTCGACTGAATTCTCAGGCATTGATCTCCTACCGGGAGGTCCACTTATCGACTTAGAATACGCAGATGAAATAGTTGTGTTTGGTGAAGACGCTAATAAAATGCAGAGTCTTTTGGTAGGACTGAGCAACAATGCCAGGATCTTTGGGTTGCGCTTTTCCCTCTCTAAATTCACGTTGTTGCTTCAGGACTGGCCTGTGTCAATACCTGAACTAAGGATAGGGGGTGAAGTAGTTGAACGCATCGACAACTTCACTTATCTTTGAAGTCTGATCAACCCTAATGGGTTGGTGTCTGACAAAATCTCTCCATGGAATCGTTTAGCTTTTGCCAACTTACGTCATCTATGAAGAAGATGAGATCTCCATCGGTCAATTAAGAGATGAATATAATTCACGGCTGGGAAACTTGGCCGTTAAGGATACTCGTAAGTTACTAGTATTCGATCACAGTTGTCTTAGAGATATTGCTCGCATCTGCTGGGATCACCGGGTAAGTAATGGTGAGGTTACATGCAGGGTATTAAGGAATGATGGTAAATCAGTTGATGAGGTTGTAAATCTTCATAGACTGAGATGGTCGGGCCACGTGTTACGTATGCCTGAACACCGATTACCACCACGCGTAATGCTGACTAGTGTTGGGGATGGTTGAAAGAAAGTTAGGGATGGTCAAACCAAAACATGACATCAGTGCTTGAAGTCACTAACTTCTAGTCTTAGCCATGTTGATATATGCAGACTACTTGGTTGGGGTCCGCGTGACTATCGTAACCAATGATTGGAGACTCTGGGTGACATGGCTCAGAATCGGTCACAATGGCGTAGGTGTATGCACTCTCTGTCTTCCCTTACACTATGAGGTTAAAATTGCTTTATATCTTTCTTTCTACCAACTAATCGTTTCTCCCTGTACTATATCCTTATATGCAATCTTTCTTTTATGTATTACTACCATTGAAGTAACTACTTTATAAATTCGCTATTCATCTTGTTGTGATAATGAGGTATGGCAACTTGGACCGATGAATATATATGCCTGGTTCTACGTTGTAGCTGACTGACTGACTGAGAATCAAATTTGATTTCAAGATTTCAGGAACTTATGGAAAACATGATTAAAGTGACTATAATGTCTATAGCTGTCTAATCAAGATAATGACAACGTAATCCGTCGTTTCGCGGGAACTATTGGTTTCCCAGAGAACGCAGATCGGTTAAGGCTTTCTCCTGATTCTCAAAGATTTTTTCAAGGTATTTTTGAGGGCTGATAAAATATACTAAAATAGTTCGCTTTCGTGTTATAATTAATGTTTAACTAGACCATGATCGGCTCTACTCCTATCATTTATGGGTTTAAACATGTAGATGATATCAACAGTTTGTGATTTTCTCGATCCATGATAATGTGCTACATTTGTTTTCATCATATGCTTTTAGCCGACTATTCACGTTCATCATGAATCGAAGGCATCTCATAAAATATTCTTATACGTAACTCGATGCAGAATTTGCCCCCAAGACTGACAAACTATAAGTGAATATTCTCAACTCAAAGAGAGTGGATCTACATCATAAATAGTATTCAAACTTGGTATAATGGAACTAATAACTTTGATGTTAGAATAAGTTACATTTAGCGCACTTTCTAGAAGGGCTGAATAGTTTGCAAATAGTTGAACTGAAATCATACAGAACTACAGAATCAAATCATTTCCCCAAAAATTAAGTATCAAATAAAAGTCTGAATCATTTAACATTACAGTAAACAAATCCGCGAAACGATACTTACCGTATAACTTCAACTTCGTTATCTATACCAGTGGTCAGATCAGAAATCAGTTCAGAGAATGTCATATGAACTCGATTAGTAACCTGAAACAATTTTGTAGCGAATGTATTGGTTAAAAAATATACTACAGAAAAGTACACAGAGCAAGACAACTTTAATTACTAAGCTAAACAGCAACCTGTTGGAAACGAAATCGCCATATCAACATCAATCATTGAAGATAAACATCAGATACTTGAGGGAAAACAAAGGCAGAAATAAATGCTGAGATAACAATCTCACTGAAACTGTCGGTTAAACAAATTATCTTTCAATATATATCAGAAATGAAAATGGTACTGTTTTAAATAATCTCATCACACAACATCAGTTAGGAACACGATATAGAATAGTAATATACACAAACTACAAATCCAACTATTGAAAAAGTAAAGCATCATACAACAAATAAAATAAATCAATACACGGAGCATCTGTGGAGCGAACAGCAAAACATGCATGAGTAATAAATATATCTTAAACAAAAAATGGCAGCAACTTACTTCAATTGCATGCATATCTATAACACGAATTCGATCATCCGGTGGTAAAATTGTTGTTTTGAGCAAAACTGGAGGTACAGGAGGAGGTGGCGGTGGCAGTGAAGGTGGTTTGCTTCGAATACATCCACTAGAAGGCCACTTAATGTAACGAATAGCATTAGGTGAGTATAAGGAAGTACGTTTTCTCTGAAACGGTGATAATTTATTGGGACACCCAAGAGTAGACCGATAATGTGACGCAGGAGTCCAAGAACGATCGTAAGAGGTGATATTCCAAGGCGAAGACAGTACGCTTCCACAACTACCTCGTCTATGTGAATCGACATTCATGTACGGAACGAAATCAAGCGTGTACGACGTCCTTAAGTCAGAAAGTGAAGCTCCAAGGTGAATCAAAGGAGTTGAATTTTTCTGCAAATTCTCCAGTGTCTCCATTTGCTAAAGTGAATCAAAATAAATCGGCATTATATGTAGTAAGTCATTAAACTATTCCGGAACTCCACTAACCAATTAGTGAATTGTAATTACTACTACTTTGCCTTACCCTCACAGCTGATCTAATTCTATTGGATATGAACGTACAGTGGTCGCTGGACTAATTATAAGTTGCAGTGAGCCATATTGAATGTTGGATAGTTGGAAATACTAGTACAAAAGGCTCACTTGATTTCTTAAAGTGTTATCAAACTCAAAGATGAAACTGGCGTAGAGATTAATATTTATTAATTTACGTAACAGATGAACGATTCACATTTTATAGATTACTTTCACAGAGATACCTAATTCGTTTGTCCTCAACGCATAAAACGTTATGGAAAAACGCAAAGTTTAATAGCCTGTGGAATATTCATACAAGATTAGCCATTTTAAAAGCGTAATGTTCATGGAGTACTAAAATGATATATGACACGTAGTGATAGCCCACAGATCCAAGAGCCTAATATTTAATATAATTTAAATACCACCGTTCCACCCGAATGCGTCAGGTAATGTCTCAATGAACGTCAATAGTATAGACAACAGTGTAGCACAGTTTTATCGACTTCCATCCAACTATATGTGATGTGAAACGTTATTTCTTTCTATATTTTTCAGCACCGATACGTCAAGAATCGACTGCATATAAGAATTCTCCAGTAATCGGAAAAATTATGGCAAATATTAAAGTTACCAACCTATTCGAAAGATTTCGAGATTTAAACAGTCAGGGAATCTAAACTGTAAGGTAACACTTGGTAATTAGTCAATATATTTAGCAAAATTTAGGTCAACAAGTTAAAAATATCTTTCAGTGTGATAGGACAGTTGTACCCAATAAGTTGACTTTAGAAAGAAAAATTATTTTTAAAAAACTAGATAGTTGCAAGAACTTACATTAAGATTGAGAACTTTGTGAAGATTATTTCCACATAAACGTATCAATTCATCAACAACGCGCCTTGATTCGGGTTTACGTAGTATTTTATTCACAAAGTTTTTAACCTCTGCCTCCCTACCATTTTTCAGATAATGAGATATTTTTGCAGCCAACTTTGAAATTTTTCTATGGTCTTTTCTGATATAGTCATATTCTCGTGTATCTTTACTTACATATACAGGAGACTTTTCAGGATCATTTATGTCATCCGGATTACTTACAGATAATAGTGAAGAAGACCCAGATATGTATTGACCAACACGACAAACTTTTGAAGGAACGAGATTGTGGATTTGAGATTCCTTATTTACAGGCTTGAAATTATGTCGAGAATTACTTTTACGCACACTTTTTCTCTCCAAATCCTGCGTTTTTTGATAGGTTCTTGAATGGTCTGATGAAGGTCGTGGTGAGCGCTTATTAATGGTATCCTAAAAATGACGAAGTTATGGTTATGATGATGGTGGGAAATATGAACACTTCAATATACAATTACTAAACATGAGATTTGTGCAATCAGATTACTTAATAAATTTTCCTGCGGAAAACAAAACGAAATACATAGATAATTACTAAAAGAATATCATAGTATACATGTATTTTGTATGTTTAAGACGTTACCAAGTTATCGAGATACATTTAAAATTTACTTGAGCTTGAATTCAAACTCTCTTATCTCCATATATATGAATAGCTTAGCAACATGTGGTTTAGCCTAACACTATTACAGGCCTGACTTGAGAAAGCGTATAAGCATCTAGATTAGAGATAAGGTTACGATCTTACCAACTTCGGCTTAGAAGACGTAATGTGAAAAAAAACTTAGCAAAAAGTGAAAACTGCTAACATGTTAGTTTTGAGCAAAATTAGCAGGAGGCCAGTGGAACTAGATTTAATCTGGTGCGTAACAAGATGTTTGTACATGCAAGATGAAAACGCCACAACGATATAAAAAGTAACGAACAATGCAATCCCATAACCAAGTGCTGATCCAGTCACTAATTATTGAAAGTTGCTGAATGATTGTCAGTTAGGTGTTCAAATTGTCGTGAGCATAGTTTATTTTAAAACTGTCACTTACAGACCATTAAACAAATAAATACTAAGATACTACTGGAAAGATTATACAATTCAGGTAAACAAATGCGACCAATCAACTTAGAAAAAATTCATCTATTAGCTTTGGAGTTTGAAGACAATTTATACTCGTTAAAGTATTTACCTTTAAGTCATGAACTCACATATTTAGACTTCACTTCATCTACTTCAGTTTGAGAAGTCGAGCAGTATTAACAACCCCGAGATAAAAGATTTGGCAAAAAGTAGAATATACAAACCTGTACTTCGTGTGCAGGTCATCTTAATTTGGATTCATATCAATTGAATGGAACTTGCTGAAAATACTTCACTACTCAAAACGAAGATAGTGGTTTTTAACATGGGAATTATTGGTTGAAGACAGCATCTTAACTAATGGGTCTCATTTATTATGAAAAATTATATGCAGAATATATAAAAAAAACATTGAAACGGTAATAGAGCTTAAATGTATTGATTAAACAAAGCTACTTTTCAAAGCTTCCATAACTTTTGAATACTGTTAGATCCCAAGAAAAATTATATTTTGTAAATTAACAACCTTAATTAGATACTAGTGAAATGAACGAAGACTTGGTGGGGAAGACCAATTTATTGTTTAATGCACAGTTACAGAGTTCTTTCGTAAAATGTGAAAACCCATACATCAAATACTTCATTTGCAATTCTTCCATCAATTGTCTCAAACATCATCGTTCCTTAATCGCTGTTACAATTACTTTCTGTTTACATCCCCGTCCTCTTCAATTCGACCTCAACCTTCTACTGCCAGGCATTCCACTTCTGATTGATGTTACATACTATTTATGTCGACAGACATAAGTAGCATACACCACACTAGTAGTGTAACTATAGTGACTGTCACAAAAAGAACGTTTACTGAGTACCTTAAAAGTTTGTTGAAACATCGAGATTTAGTATCCAGAACTAAAAACAGACGTCCATATACAATCAATACCGCTCAGAACAGTTATAATCACCAAAACTAATTTCTAGTAGCTTATGATGAACACGTATTTGTTTACATTAACTACAATTTCTAGTTTGTTAATATCACTAGAGTTTACAGAGATTAACGTTGAAATTGTAAAAGATCCTAATCATAAGATTGAACTAATAACATCTACATTGATAAGTCCTTCCCCGACAATTACTCATGAACATACATAAATGAACTAATAAACACTGAGGGATTTAATGATATGCAGTTACTTCAGATAGAAATATTTCCTAAAGGGCAATATACAATGCTTCCAGACTAATTCTGCTTGACTTTTAAAATTCCCAGACGTTTCATTATTTTTCTCACTGATTTTTTGTCACGAATTAAAAAGTGTAAATATAGACAACTCGAACATGTAGTAAAGAATATGTTCATTCAGATTATTTAACGTTTGTAGAATAAGAATACTGAAAAACTGGCTGACATAGTTATAAGAACAGATAATACTATTGAATGTTGATTAACAGATTTATGCAGAATATTTCCAAAACTTAGAACATTCTAATATTTTATATTCTTAGTATCCAGTATCATGTTTTTATGTACGTGATACCGAACAGACAGCTAAAGTTCATATGAAACAGAAAATGAAATAAACCACCAATGTTGTCATTAGTTATCGCAGTAACAATAATACTTTTTTTTTAAAAACTATGGTTGTATCGTGGAAAGTGTTGTGTTATCTAAAACTAGCGTTCATGATAATGAAAAAAGTTAATCTTTTATGAAAGTTAATATTCATTGAATTACCATACATCACTAAGCTTTATTGGCTTTTCCCTTTTAATTTTTAGAGTTTTCATATGGTGAGTTTGCTTAAACGTGGTGAGATAACATTTATTCACAACTGATTTATACTGAAATCATTTCCGATTTTTTATAACAATTTGTCATTATTTATACTGTTTATCAATTCAACTTACTAAATTCCTATTAGTAGACAGATTATCTGAAGAAGGAAACCCCGATGACAAATCAAATGACTGAGCAGGAAGTAATACATTGGCATACGATGGAGAAAGCGATTGACTAGAAGAGCTTTCAGATATCTCTATTCTGTTTTTACAACTTTTAGAGGATTCAGTATTCAATCTCCCATGACGTCGCTTACAAACATCTCCTGTGACAGTACCTCTAAAATTTGGGTTTTGTGACTTTGGATTATGATTACTATTAGACTGATAAGATATTGAACCACGCGTTGAACAGTCGGATGAGTGATGACGATTAGACAAATGATTGACTCCAAGACCAGGTAGAGTCACTTTCAAGCGACCAATGTTACGAGAATGAGCAGTAACCAGAGAAGTGTCACCTGGACAAAAAGATGATAACGCTGAGGATGGCAATGATGATAAACTAGTTCCAAAAGAAATCACATCTTCGTCAGTACATTTTAATGCATGTGCCTGTGCCAAAGCTGATTGTCTGCTTTGATTTGAAACACTAATCATAATACTATTCTGTAAAGAGGTTTTATTCTGGTTTCTATGCGATCTAGATTGTTCTGCGGGGATATTTTTAGGTTCAAGACTCCGCTGAAAAACGTCGCATTCCGCAGTAATTCTTGACACTGGCTTAGTACATTTTTTCGATATGTCTTGCTTTTCTAGTATAGAGTCGACACGCATCTGATTGTAATTGCTTTTCGGTCGATTACTTTGTCCACTTGTTTGTTTCCTGTATTTACCACTATTATTATGTCCATATGAATATAAATACATTATATCTTGAGTATCGCTCAAAGAAAGTGATTCAGAACTTTTTCTTTTCTGATCTGTCTTATAGAGCACTGAAGAACACAATGAAGGTTGGTTTGACGATGTTATATGATTTTGTGTATCATCATAAAAACATTTCTTAAAAATACGTCCGTTTGTGAAGCTGTTTGAGTTATCCATTGTGCAAACTTTTTCACTCATATCAACCCTTGCATTACTTTGATTGGCCCGAGAAACAGATAATGAGTGTGACAACCGATGGTTGGGTGAGACCGAAAAACAGCGACCAATCACAGACTTAGTTGATGAAAGAAGCTGTGAGTCATCACAATGTGAATGTGTTGTGCTAAGCTCGAGATTAGCAGGCAAAATAGATGCATATTTTTTTTTGTAAGGAAAATCGTATTTATTTATTCTATCTATAGACACAGAACAATCACTTGTATCATCTCTATGTAAATCATATGATTGGATAGTCTTAAAATTATAACTGTTAACCCGGTCTGACTTTCTTGTGTCTTTAGTTGAAGGGTTTGACATAGGTAAACAACTAGTTGTTGAATGATGTAAATTTGGGTTCAATTGATCACATGCACTTTTACCTTTATTAAACCGGTGCCTTGGTTCCGAACTTTTGCTATTAAATCGATGCGAAAAACTTTGGATATCCTCACTCTTTTTACACTGTTCAGATAACCATGTTACATCTTTCAAACTAGTAATATTAATGTTGGACTTCGGACAGTTTAGATTCTCATTGGATGCAAAATATTCATGAGAACAGTCCGAATTTGAGGGACTAGAACTTTCTGCGAACTCGTTTGAGGATAAATGAACGGCTTCTGGAGTTAAAGGACAAAACCCAGTCTCACTGATAAATAAACTCGGCTTTGCTGTAAATTTCCCAGACAATGAAGATTCTATAGACGCATATTTTTCACATGATGTAAGAGGATTTGAATAAATAAAGGATGAATAATTAGGACTTGGAAGTTGATCAGCCGTATCAAGTTGATCGTATTCAACATTAGGATAATAGCTTAGTGAAGGCTGCTTCTGAGTAGTTTTATGGTACGTATTTACAGATTCACGAAGTTTGTCTGATTCAGTGGCAGAAGAAAGACAATCAATATCAGGGGTACTTACATAAATGGAAGAACCACGGTCAAACCTTGCTGAATTTAAAACAGTGCACCCTAAACTACCCACGGGGCTGGTATAAAAAGAGTGATTATCTGTGCTCACATATGTACACGTAGAGATTCCTGTCTGACAATGCGGACAAGGGTCTTTTGAAGTAGAGATCCCCAAGAACGTCTGGCGCAATTCATATAATCTGCATCTATGTAAAGCAGCTTCACTAGCAGCACTACTAATCTTTTCTCCTGATTCAGGAGGCTGATGAATTTCTGTACTTAAGTTTAAGGAGTCTCGTGATTTTGATGGATATACTGGTGGTAGTAGTGATAGGGGCATCTGAAAGCCAGTTAACCGCATCAGTTCATTTTAATACAGTACCTAAACATGTAAATATACAAATATGTACAGGAATATATTAGAATAACAAAATTACATGCAGCGAATTTAAAAGCGACCGATACAGCCATACGGCACAAGTGTCAGATTCTAGGTTGCATATACCTTACTGACTGACTGGCGTAAAGCAATAGATATGTAAGAACAGAAAAGTAGGTTACTTGGGGTTTGTTTATTTGTAAGTGTATTTACGATACCGTCATACACTTAAAACTGTTACCAAATACCTTTAAGCAGTTGTCATACTGATAGCTCAAAATCCAGCTACCAGATTATTTTCGTTCAAACAACTAAGGCTACTACTCATTTACTTCAATTACTGTCAAGTCTTGAGTTTGAACATTCATTTTCTCTAGTTGAAAAAACGTTTAGAACTAAATTTTCGAGTCAGTGAGTCATATACAACGTAGAAGCTGACACATGTGCATAGTTTTAAGCTACCTTGCCACATCAGCACGATGAGATCAAATCATATCAAAATAAATTCGACAGTAGTAGAAGAAGTAACAGTATCAGCATTGACAGAAAAGACTAAGCATAGGAAAAGAAAAATAGTAATAAGATTTCGGGACTCAGGTCCTAAAAACAAGGAGCGAATGTAAATGTAACATTGCAAACGATTCCTAGAAATGTCATTCAGTCTCTAACCATTAATTGTGGTAAACACTTTGCACCCAACCCGGTAGCCTACACCTATTAACATGGCCCAGTACAACTAACTTCATAGATTGGTGCTATGTCTTGTTTTGGATGCTCCTAGCTTTCTTCCAACCTACCCCTACACTAGACATCCCGCGTCGAGGTAAGCATATGTAATACACGTCCCAGCCACCTCAGTCGACGGAGACTACAGGATCAATCGATTTGCCATATTTAACCCAGTATCCTAAACCAGGCATTCTTAAAATACACGAGGGGTGCTTTGGAGACATATATGGGCAAATACTAGTAGTCTACGAATATCCTCGATCCTTAGTGGTTGCGCTACACACACATAAAGTTGGACAGAGCGAAATGCAACCCGTCCTTTGGTTGATAAACGGACGTCTAACCTACGGTACGAGTGATGCAAGTTAGCAAAGGCCAATCAACCTTCCTGAATTCGTGCAAACCTTCATCTGAAAACAGGCCATCGGGAATAATGGTACAGAACGTGATAGGTTTTGAACAGTGCTTGAAATATTTAAAACCGCGTAGACTTAATGAACAGCTGAAAAACTAACCTGACGAATATTACATATATTACCTGATCCTATAAGTTCACTACTTTGCTACTTATGAGAAAACAGTCAAATGAAATATAAAAAGATGTGTTTAGGTCAATGAATTGAGTTCCGTATCCATCACTAAATAAACGGAAAGCCGTTTCAACTCAAGCTATATAACACATGAAACCTCGTTGTTGATAAATGCTTTTGGGCAATCCCAAGTAAAACAGCAGCTGTCACAATATATTTCCTAATCTAGTAGTAAACACAGTGTTTACTTTAAACCATCTATTTAAACACATCGGTACAAGAAGGCGCCAAATATATATGCGCCACAGGTCATTCGACTTGTACTAGGTCTGAAATACTTCCCGAGAGCCAAAAGCAAAGCTGATAGTTTCCTTCAGGCTTCGCTCCCCGAGCCTTTGACCTACAGGATTAATCCACAAGACAGTGGGGCAACATTAGGAGATGCAGTCCCATGGTAGTCGGTGATTAACACAACTTATTCTCTTTGGATCCTGGAGCCCATAGGCACCATTGGTTTGGAATCAGGGTTTTTCAATTCCACTAGGTGGACTCTCATACCCACCAACCCGATTAAAGCGCCAGACATTCGCTTCTCGTCCTCTCAGTTTCGTAAACAACACCCCCCTCACGAAAAGGCAGTGAGTAGGACTTCCCTGGTAGTGGTTGTATACGCGTAGCCATGTGAGAACATTTCGAGAGGAAGAGCTGACTCCGCACTCTCGGCCGTACTAGGGCATTTAGGGGCGTAGCCCGACTGATTCGTCACGACAGTCAACCCTGATTACCACAACAAAGTACCAACTATTACTGGGCTAACTATATATACGATCGCTCACTACACTCAAGGGCAGTTACTTTACTTACCAAACCAGAAAGATGTAGGATCTGAACAATAATCTTTTAGCTGAATATCTAGACTATTAAGTCAGAGCTAGATAATTTTGGACACCAATGTGCTTGAACATTATATTGAGTTGAGATGTAAAAATAGTTTTTAGGAGCAGGAAGATATATTTAGTAATGCCAGATTGTTTAATTGCTACTTTCACATTAGTCGTACAGCAAAAAAAGACTCAGTAATATGTCCCATAATTACGGTTTGATTACACTTGCATCAGTTGCACTTATGGATCGTTGTAGCAAAATTATCTGGTAAGAATAACATGATACGACATAAAATACTTTGAAAGTTTAGTTTGCTAAAGAGACTTCCAGAAATGTTGATATAAATAGTCTTACGATCATGATTAATCACGCAATTATGATACATTATTGTTTGCGCAACAGATTTCTTTTTCGGTGCGTGAAACTAGCTGAATAGCAATTTTATAACATGCCCATCAAATTTATGTACATATTGCTTAAGACAATATTACACTGAAAAGGTAGTAGGGACAATTTCAGATCCAACTCTCCATAGTTGTAAACAACTTTAATTCGTACGGTATGTTTAGCAATTCAAGATATCACACTCGCGAATGAAACTACGATAATATCCCTTTACCTTCTAAAACCATATTTTCGAGCTCACATCGGAGCACCCAACATTATCACGTAGCGAATTATACGGGAGATAACACCAGTTAAAGTACCAAGCTTCTGGAGAAGCATATTTAATGTAGTTCAAAGGCTGACAATGCCTAAAAATAAATTGAGTTTTAAAAAGTGAATCCGAAAAAGGAAAGTGGAATGATCGAATAGGCTAGTTTCCTTTATTGTATAGTGTGCCATTTTGTCATTATTATAGTCATTTTTACTCCAGTCAAAGTTAGTACGTGGATGTTAATATGTTATTTAGATTGCAACTGAGAGGCGATTTATCCCTAAGATAGCTGTCCTAACATATCCATCGCTTTTACAGCGACAGTTTAATACTAACCGGTAAGTTTTGTCGATAATCCACATATTTTCCATTACTTACACTTAACAGAAGTATCGCTAGTGGTCATAGTAGAAATTTGGTCAACAAGCTTCCTCCTTATGCTTGAAGACTGCAAATATGGGTCTTCACCCAACCACTAGTCTGTCCAATGCCGAAGATATTCATTAGCCTTTTCCAAACTTCTGTTGGATGTTACTTTCATAACGAATCTATCTACAACTTAGTACAACGTTAACTGCTGAAATAAATATAAATCTGTTTAGCATCAGAAATGTGCTCAAAGATCCTACTTTAGAACCGAGTATGTATAGACTATTCAGTTACGCATTCTTGATGGCATTTAAAAACAGGTACACCCGTTAGCAAGCTGATGCATGATTGATATCAAAGCGATTGTCGAATAAATTTCTTCAAATTTTTCGCAGATGAATACTTGTATGTGAAGATTAACTGGTATACTAGGACAGATACAAATATAAGAGACAATGAGTTTATAACTTCTCAGTACTTGCTACTACATTTATTAATAACATGGTAACTGTTTTGAGGGGTGGCTTCGCGATCCACGGGCTCGACTTTCCACTTCTAAGTTCCTGGTTTGAAAAATCGGCTTTACCTACTTCAGTTTAGTATCACAAACCCTCACACTGAGTATGGCTCGTACTTGGTGAATGAGCTAAAAAAGGAACTGTCTTGGGTACCATCGTATATAAACTGACCACTCCAGTAAGGAGGCTTGATGAACAAACATATGAACACGTATAGCCGATGCGGCTGATTAGAATTGGTAATCAAAACCAGATCAGTAGATCTGCCAATATTTACAACACCGTTCCCAAGATGCTAATCACCGAAAGACATTAAGAGTATGTTACTATTTTACTATTGATCAATTAATATCCGATACAACTATTAGTGCAAATGAAACGCATATATTTTAGTTCTTTAGCGGCTTCTGATAAAAAAATAAGGCAGGAGTTTTGAAAACATAACCAACCAGAAAAATTTCAGTCAGTTGCAAGCAACGTGAGACTTAATACATATTTCCGTCGATTCAAGCTGCCACACAACATCAACAAGAGATGAAAACACCAATGTGAATACTACGGCATTGACTAGTTACCAAGTCCATAAGTATAAGCCATATAGAATTTCACTGCTTATTGTTCAATAAAAATACATGTAGGAACTATTGTATGATGTAGATTTAGATTATTCCAAGTTATGTCTAATCATATCGCAAATTTCTGATTTGTTACCGTTTAGTTTGGGTGACTGAAACTGGTGTAAAGTATATGCTCTCCACTTTTTTAAAGCATCAATTGTAAAGCGAGACTGCACCTTTGAAATTTTCGTCCAACGTCCCATAGACAGAATGCTTTCAGTGGCGAAGTTGAGTAGAAAAAATAAAACTGATGACCCTATCTAACATCGTCTTCAGTTTATAATGGTGACATTTCTATGTAACCACTACTTGATATACTTTCCACAACTTAATAAACGTCAACACGTTTTTCAGTAATCAATATAAATATCCTTCAAGTAATATTCTTAGTCTGTAATGCTTTTAACAGCTCTTGTGTGTCCTAGTAATGAAATCACAGTCCCTATATCCACGAAGAAAGCATATCCCTAAAACATTAGTTCTGTTTTGTGAAACTAGTTTAATAGTAGTTAGTATCTTAATAGTCCAGACCTTTGCTGCTACCTTGACGTGGTGAACCATATTGCCATCAGTCATCGTTGTAGAGGCTCGATAGAAAACTCACGCTCGTTCTGGAATACCTGCTTGGACTCTAATAATACTCTAATACGGGCACGCATTTGTTTGAGCCTCACTGGACGCAGAAAATCCACATTAAGAAGACCCATTAGAATTGAACTGAGTGACGAAAAAGCAGAAAGTAGATTCCAGGAACAACTGAGGTCACACTTAGGTAGTTTTGAAAACGAGGCTGACCCAGATGTTGCTTGGAAAGATATACAAACAGCAGTGACATTTATCAGTGATTTAAACCAAAGGGTTACAAAACACCAATCGATTTCTTCTAAGTCTATTGCACTAATGGATTCTCGTAGACTCATCCCATCAGGATCTGAACACGATGAAGAGCGAAAGCAGATCAGATCTTGGTTAACCAACAGTCTAAGGAACGACCGTCAGCGGTGGTGGGCAACGAAAGCACATAGAGATGGAAAAGGTGGCGGCTGTAGGCAATACAAAACAGCTCTACAGACTAATAAAAGAAACTAAGATTAATAAGTCAAGTGTAAGTGAGACTATCTCGGAAAAAGACGACACTCTTATCTGCTCCCAGTCCAGACGTTTAGAACGATGGGCGGAACATTTTAAGGAGCAGTTCAGCTGGCCTCCAGCTACTCTACAATTACCCACCATTTCCAGACAGCCTGAATGGAACATTGAAGTAGGTCCCCCGACTCTAGTTGAAGTTCAAAAGGCTATAGTTAATCTGAAACGAGGAAGAGAAGCTGGTCCAGATGGATTGGCTACAGAGGTCTTTAAGGATGGTGGTCCAATTTTAGCGATTAGGTTGACTAATATTTTAGCTAAAATCTGGGAGTTGGACGTAATCCCATCTTATTGGTCACAATCACTGATTGTCCCAATATATAAAAAGGGGTCAAAATCATCCTGTGATAACCATAGAGGGATTAGTTTGATTAACATAGCATCTGAAATACTAGCCTCGATAATTATCGGACGCCTAACTAAGACTCGTGAACTGCAAACACGAGAAAATCAGGCTGGCTTCAGACCTGGTTGTAGCTGCATCGACCACATATTCACTATTCGCCAGGTTTTAGAACACAGACATGCTTATCGGCGTCCGACAATTATAGTGTTTCTTGACCTAAAAGCAGCATTTGACTCTGTAGACCGCGAGGTTCTGTGACAGTGTCTGTCATTGAAGGTGTACCTCAGAAGTACATAAACCTTGTGAAGGCTCTTTACTCGAACACCAATAGTCGAGTCAGAGCTTATGACGAACTGTCATCTGATTTTGCAGCCTCAAATGGTGTCCGGCAGGGCAGACCACTTTCTCCATTTTTATTTAACTTCATCATAGACCTACTGATGGGAATAACGCTCTCGTCGATTGAATTTTCAGGCATTGATCTCCTACCGGGAGGTCCACTTATCGACTTAGAATACGCAGATGAAATAGTTGTGTTTGGTGAAGACGCTAATAAAATGCAGAGTCTTTTGGTAGGACTGAGCAACAATGCCAGGATCTTTGGGTTGCGCTTTTCCCTCTCTAAATTCACGTTGTTGCTTCAGGACTGGCCTGTGTCAATACCTGAACTAAGGATAGGGGGTGAAGTAGTTGAACGCATCGACAACTTCACTTATCTTTGAAGTCTGATCAACCCTAATGGGTTGGTGTCTGACAAAATCTCTCCATGGAATCGTTTAGCTTTTGCCAACTTACGTCATCTATGAAGAAGATGAGATCTCCATCGGTCAATTAAGAGATGAATATAATTCACGGCTGGGAAACTTGGCCGTTAAGGATACTCGTAAGTTACTAGTATTCGATCACAGTTGTCTTAGAGATATTGCTCGCATCTGCTGGGATCACCGGGTAAGTAATGGTGAGGTTACATGCAGGGTATTAAGGAATGATGGTAAATCAGTTGATGAGGTTGTAAATCTTCATAGACTGAGATGGTCGGGCCACGTGTTACGTATGCCTGAACACCGATTACCACCACGCGTAATGCTGACTAGTGTTGGGGATGGTTGAAAGAAAGTTAGGGATGGTCAAACCAAAACATGACATCAGTGCTTGAAGTCACTAACTTCTAGTCTTAGCCATGTTGATATATGCAGACTACTTGGTTGGGGTCCGCGTGACTATCGTAACCAATGATTGGAGACTCTGGGTGACATGGCTCAGAATCGGTCACAATGGCGTAGGTGTATGCACTCTCTGTCTTCCCTTACACTATGAGGTTAAAATTGCTTTATATCTTTCTTTCTACCAACTAATCGTTTCTCCCTGTACTATATCCTTATATGCAATCTTTCTTTTATGTATTACTACCATTGAAGTAACTACTTCATAAATTCGCTATTCATCTTGTTGTGATAATGAGGTATGGCAACTTGGACCGATGAATATATGTGCCTGGTTCTACGTTGTAGGTGACTGACACTGAATACTATGGCAATATAAGTGTGTGTCATTAACAGTAATATTCATAAAATTTAGTGGGTTTTATACACTGTCTAGGTATGAACAGAAGCCCATAAAGTAATATACTGTCAGACACCTGCATAATGATCAAGGTCTAAACACGAAAAAAGTCACATTGACAGACTTATCTCTGTTCCAAGGGACCATATAACCTAGTACGACTTCGAGAAGAGAAACAACTAACTTCCGAGAAAATAACGAGCCCATCTTTGATTTTTTTCTCGACTATATAACTTCCTTGTCAATTCTGAGTGCTTATATAGGCTCAAACACTTTGATATCTTACAGGATGGACAGAATGGTGAGATAAGAAGCCAAACTAATCAGTACCGCTAGACCGAGTGTGCTAACCAAACAATTTGCAAACCAATGGACAAAAACAAATGATAGTGTCCTACTTTAAACCATCAACCGCAGATAAAGTCCTTCATACGATGGAACGGAAACCTGAATTCCCGAAACAGAAACGATTGGAAACGTTCCAAGTCACCACCTTATGAAGAAAATATAATCTATCAAACTTCTAGCTTTGGAAGAAACGAAATTTATCAGAGTTCGCCTCAAGTAATCTCCTTGATAGGCCTGCCTGCGAAGTTATGTAGTACATACGCCACATCGGTGACTCCTCATATAGAGGTGCAGAAGCATTCCATCTGCTGTGCAACCACAGTCGATTTTTTCGAAAAATAATTGCTCACCGAATTCTTATCTTCCACCTAAAAAGTAGCCACACAGTTTCGTGAAGCCGAGGCAAAATAACTTTGTAAACAGTAGAGAGATCTATCTAGTCACTTGTTGACAGATTGAACTCGACAGAAAGGAATGAAATCGAATTTTCAGACAGTCGTGAGACAATATATAATGATGAAGCAATATTGCTATATCTGCCTTATTCAGAATAACGTACGTCAACATTTTCTTTCGAACTAGTTTCTGCCATATCTATACCGACAATTGTTTGTAGAAAAGCGGGGTTTAGACTAAACTTTAATACAAGATAGATTCGTATCCCCAGCGTCCCATTCTATAGAAATTGATAAAGCTACTCATTCTACTTTTTGTGTTCTGATCAGCATAATTTTGAACTAAATACGAATACGTGAATAATAAAGCAGTTTACTACTCAAACTAGCTAGTATGATATGCACCAAGACCAGGCTCGCAAATAATAAAATTCATCTTGAAACCTTACTTATACCACAGTAGTACAACTAGACTGAACGTTTGATAAATTCTTAAACATAGCAACCCTAAAGACATTGAAATAAATGCATTCACTAAGTCCCCAAAAAAATATCACTAACATACATAGTAGCGTAGGTTGCTTAAAAACCGTTACCACAGATATTCAATATCGTGTCGTTAATGAAAACCTAATTTGTAAATAGTACTTTAGTCAGTATTTAGAGTTCTCATTATTTCGTTTATTTCGTAAAGAAATTTTATTGACCATGATGTGTTGTTTAGGTCGTATTAGATTTTCTTCTGCAGCGTTTCCTATGTTGTATTGATTATTGTCCAATAACTACACATGCAGCTTAAATTGCACCTCCTTCTCGCTTCATTCGCTCTCGCGTCAACAATTTTGTAACATACCGGCGAAAAATATACGTAGCTTGTGCCTACCAGTGTCACCATGATTAGTCATACGTAAATATCCTGAATTGAATACCATATTTTTGGAGTCACCTGCCTCTTGTCATAATTTCGGATTTACTTTTAGATATGTAGAACTAGCAACAACTGATTGCTTCCTGTTCCAGCCTTAGTTTCGCTTTTGAAAGGACCGGAAGCTGTATGGTCTGTGTTGTTCATGGTAACAGAGTTCTCTCGATTTATTCAACTTTCTTCAGAACACAACTGTAGGGCCAG